GGGGGGGGGGGGGGGGGGGGGGGGGGGGGCGGTGAAGAGGGGGAGAGTTATGGGTGTCACTTCTTGCGCACAGCGGACATGCTAATTTTTTGTGTAGAGTTACTAGTTTTATTTTTTATCTTTTTTAGTTTCGTTTTTCTGTTTTTTTTTTTTTTTTCCCTGCTACACTCACCTATCGTACCAATTTTAAACGGTGTCCCGAACGGGAACCGAAAAACGACAAGAAAGGATTTTCAGAAAAAAGCGGAAAAAATCTTTCATCACGATTTCAGAAGCATACGGGCCCCCTTTATCCCGAAAAAAAAAAAAGAAGCATACGGCCCCCCTTTCGCTCTCTTCCAATGGTCTCCCTCTCCCTTCCTCCCACCCATCATTATCCCTTCACCTCCCCCTGGCCTCCCATCGATTCGACTCGATTCGGTTCGATTCCATTCCATTGGATTCAATTCGATTGGATTCAATTCGATTGGATTCGATTCGATTGGATTGGATTCGATTGGATTCGATTGGATTCGATTCGATCGGATTCATGTATTGTGGTGGTGAAGGGGCGAACCCAGGCATCTCTCTTTGGCATGGCAGAGCTGACACCTGTCGCATTGAGGATTTTGGATGAGAGGGGAGGACCACCTCTTTTTTTTTTGAGGGCCCGAGGGAAGTCGTTCGATCATACGATGGCCCAAAGAGCTTATTAGGACAGATCATCTCTTGGGAATGTCGCAACGTGTGGTCTAATTGGAAACGAAGTTGTCCATTAAGGGTCTCATTAGACACTCCTAAAAGTGCCTGTTTTTAGGATTGCGTCTTGGTTGCACGCAATCCTAAATCCAATTTTGAGATTGAAAACGTGAAAATGGCGTTAGGACGAGTCCTAAAGGATTTAGGATTCCCCAGGCAAAATCGTTCTAAATTTTCCAGTAGCCCCCGACGTACTGAAAAAATTAGGATTCCCGCGTTTCACGGACTCGTTGCGTCGTGCGCATGGCACCGTCGACACGGAGTTGCTGGTGCAGAAGCGGTCCGTCGGGTCAGTGGTCGGACGGCGGTTTTCTGCGGGTCGATGCGGGCAACGCCCACAAATGGTAGCCGTTGGTGGGGATTGGACGGACATTGGCAGGAATGCGTATACGCATATGAAAACCGGCCGCGGGAGACCTTTTAGGACGAATCCTAAAAGATGATTTTTAGGATTGCATGTAACGACGCCGCACGAAATCCTAAAAATCCTTTAGGACTCGTCCTAAAAATTTTAGGATTCTTTTAGGAGTGTCTAACGAGACCCTA